CTTCTTCTTCTTATTTTCTTTTATCATCTATCTATCTATCTTCTATCTCATCCCTATCTATACTATCTATCTATCTATTCTATCTAATCTAATCTAAAATTTTTTCCTATTATCTATCTAATCTATCTATCTATCTATCTATTATCTAGCTATCTATCTATCGTATATATCTATCTACTTATCTATCTTATCTATCTATCTTTCTATTCTATCTATCTATCTATCTATCTATCTATCTATCTATCTATCTATCTATCTATCTATTCTATCTATCTATCTTATTATCTATCTTTATTATCTATCTATCTATCCTATCTATCGATATTATCTCTCTATCATCTATCTATTACTCTATCTATCTATCTATCTATCTATCGATCGATCTATCATCTATCCTTATCTATTATCTATCTATCTATCTATTAGCTATCTATCTATCTATCTATCTATCTATCCTATATATATATTATATTATCTATCGATTAATCTAATCTATCTATCTATCTATCTATCTATCTATCTATCTATCATCTATCTATCTATCTATCTATCTATCCTATTATCTACTAATCTATTCTATCTTCTATCTATCTATCTATCGATCTATCACTCTATCGATCTATCGCATCTACGATCTATCGATCTATCTTATCTATCCTATCGAATCTATTCTATCTATCTATCTATCTATCTATCTATCTATCTATCGATCTATCGTATTCTATCTTCTATCTATCGATCGATCTATTAATCTATCTACTCTATCTAGTCTCTCTATCTATCTATCAGTATGTTAGTGACTGAGTGAGTAGAAGTGCGTGAGTGAAGTGAGCTGAGATAAAAAGAGAACGAGTAGAGCACGATGCGACAGAGAGTGAGACGACAGACAAAAAACGCGAAGAGACCCCGAGATAAACCCTACTGTATGCAGGAAGCAGATTGCTACGAATATGAAACGCAAGGAGAAACAACGAACGAAACCGAGAGAAAGTGTGTCTAGAAAAGACGATGGCGAATCGTCAGCTGGATTGCAAGACGGGAGGGCGGTAGATGTGTGTGTGCTGGCGTTGTGTGTGTGGTGGTGTGTGTGTGTGTGCGGTGCGTGTGTGTGGTCAGGTGCGTGCGTGCGTGGGTGTGTGGTGCCTGTGGTGTGCTGTGTGCTGACTTCGTGCCGCCCCCAGGCCGCACGCGTGTGTGTGTGCACGAAATGTGCTAGAAAAGACGGTCAGACCAGGGCGAAGGGCAATGGCGAGTGGGGTGTGGGGTTGTGGGGGTAGAGGTAGAGTAAAGCCGGGAAGAACGACGCGAATAAATCGGTGGCATAATTGCCCATCACACGCGAGGAGTGCCGGATGCTACACGTGCACACACACACACACACACAACACACACACACACATCACACGACAAAAACACCACACACACACACACAACCACACATCCCACACACACACACACCCACACACACACACACACACACACACACACACACACCACACCACACACACCACACACACACACACACACACCACACCCACCCACACACACACACACACACACACACACACACACACACACACCACGCACGCACGCACGCTGCGCGCGCGGCGTACAAACACCGAGAACAGCAACAGCGGCGTCTTTTCACGACGAACTCACGGGCCGTCGTTCGACTTACGTCACGCGCGCCGCTAGATCTAGCTCTGCGCGATTGCCGCCACGAAAGCCCTGCATACAAGCTAGAGCTTTCACGCGGCGCCAGCCAGTAAGTATCTGACACCCTGCCTGACGCGCTCTCACTTCCACGATTGGGTAAGTGTCACTGCACTGTTGCACTGCGCCTAGACAGCGCCTAGCTAGGCGAGCGCGTTGAGGGAGGCTGTTGTCGTGCTGCTGCTGCGGAAGTGTGTTGAAGTTGTTGTGCGTGCGTCGCGTCGCGTGCGTGCGTGCGTGTGTTTTGCTGTATGGGCTGTGTCGTGCCCGATGATAAAACATGTAATCCGCCATGCCTCCAGTGTGTATATGGTATGTGCGCGCGTGCCCCGGTGTTCGAGTGCACGCGGAGAGAGAGTGTGTATTCTCTCTGTGTATGTTTCTCCTATGTATGTATGTATGTAGCTATGTATGAATGTATGAAATCATGTATGTATGTATGTGATGTATGTAATGACTGTATGTATGTATCGTATGTCTCGTTATGATATATGTATGTATGTATTGTGTGTGTGGGTGTGTGTGTGTGTGGTGGTGTGTGTGAGATGGTGTGTTGGTGTGCTGTGTGGTGTGTGTGAGACCCCCGCTGGTTGCTGTTGGTTTGTATTGTATGTATGTAGTATGTATGTATGTACTGTTCTATGATATGTGATGCTATGTATGTATGTATGTACTGTGCGCCGATGTGTTGTTGTAGTGTGTGTGTGAATGTGTGTGAGTGTGAGAAAGAGAGAGGCTAGCGATATAGAATAGAGCGAGAAGAGGAGAGAGAGAGAGAGAGAGAGATGAAGAGAGAGAGACCGAGAGAGACGAGAGGAGAGAGAGAGAGAGTGTGTCATGTGTATGTGTCGTTGTGTGTTTGTGTGTGCGTGGTAGTGACCCGTCGTGCGATTCGCGGCGTGTCGACTGTGTGTCGGTGGCGTTGCGCGCGTGTGCGCTGTGTGCATGCTGCGTTCGCGCGTGTGCGTGCAATTGTGCGTGTGCGTTCGCGCGTCTGTGGTGCTATGTGCGTGTGCGTATCGCGCGTGTGCGTGTAGTGTGTGCGTGTGCGTCTCGCACGTGTGGTGTGTGTGCGTTGTGGCTGCAGTATTGATATTGTTATTCGTGCCCCGTGTGTTCATGCTGCTGTCAGTTGGCCAGTGGCACGCGTGCGTGTGTGGTGTGTCGTGCATGGTGTTCGCGTGACGTGTGTGTGTTCTGTGCGTGCGTGTTCGTGGTGCGTGTGTACCCGTGAAACAATTGCATAATGAATTACGACGCAGAGCCATGACCTCTTCCCACCTATATTACAAGCCTCCGTAACAGGCACGACTATTTTCAGAACGCCCAATTAGACTCCTAGGCCAATAATAACTTCACATGTATATACGCATATATGTGTAGATATCTGGCATGCATACACACCACACACACACACACACACACACACCACAACACACACCACACACACACACGGCGCCGCGCCGCGTACAACACCGAGAACAGAACAGCGCGTCTTTTCACACGACCTTACGCCGTCGTTCGACTGTACGTTCACGCGACGCCGCCTAGAATCTAGCTTCGCCGCGTGCCGCCAGCGAAGATCCTGCACTACAAGCTATAGCTTCACGCTGGCCAGCCACCAGTGACTTATCTGCACCCTGCCTGAGCGCCTCGACTTTCCCACGATGGTAAGCTGTTTCACTGCACTGTGCACTGCGCTAGACAGCGTTAGTTAGCAGCGAAGCGCGTTGAGGGGGTTGTCGTTGCTGCTGCCGAAGTGTGTGTGTGTTGTGCGGCTGCGTGCCTCAGCGTGCGTGCGTGGGTGTTTGTGGTATGTCGGGTCGGCCGATGATAACGTGTATCGCCATGTCAGTGTTTAATGCGCGTATGTTGCGCGCGTGCTGTCCGAAGTGACCGGAGAGGAGAGTGTGTATTATGTCTCTGTGTGTATGTTTCTGATATGTATGTATGTACTGTATGTAGTATGTATGTATATGATATGTAGTGTAATGTATTGTATGTATGTATGTATGTATTGTATGTATGATTATGATGATATGTATATGTATGAGTATGTGCTGTGTGTGTTGTGTGATCTTGTGTGTGAGAGAGAGAGAGAGAGAGAGAGAGAGATAGAGAGAGAGAGAGAAGCAGAGAAAGAGAGGGGTGGGGAGAGCTGTGTTGTATCGTATCAGGAGTAGATAATAGGGAACTAGCGTGGCAACTGATCAGCTTTGCAAATCCTAGCTATAGCTACTGGCTACAAACGTTGGTACGATTGCTCGATCTACGCTGCCTCACGCGATCCCGAAACTGTTCGAGTGAAAGTGTTCCTTCCATACAGCACGCGTCCAAAACCTCTCGCCTACGTGCCTACGTCAATCGCATTGCAGCAACGCTCGAGCGGAAATAGCACGCCAGTTGGTGGTAGCGCACAGTACCATCCCTCCCCCACCACTATCCCTCCTCTCCCTCCCCTCTCCATCACGTCTCCCTTACTCCAGTCGCCTGCCCCTCCTCCTTCGCCTCCCACGCGACTCGCTTCCATCTACATCAACCTCCCACATCCTCTCCCTCATCCTCCCCCGCTAGCTCTCCCTCCACAACCCTCCCCTGCCTCTACAAACCTCTTCCTTCTCTCCCCCCCCACACACTCTCACACTTAGCCGTATACCGTACGTGAAGCGGACAAGGATAGCTGGCGGTGTGACTTGTGTGCCGTGTGAAATACGAGCAAGCAATTACAACGTTAGCAGCGTGTTGCTACTAGTTGTGATGGCCCGTGCACAGCCGGCCGACCATGCCTCCTGCCCACCATCTTCTCGCTCTTACAAAGCGACAGGAGCTAATGATACATGATTATACATGTAACTATGTAATACATGTAACTATGTAATATACATGTAACTATGTAATATACATGTAACTATGTAATACATGTAACTATGTAATACATGTAACTATGTACTACATGTAACTATGTACTATACATGTAACTATTCATGTATTATTAGCTCGTGATAGCTACTACTCCTGCTACTATGTAACCACCGATCAGCCCGTATGCAAGCCCCGGCCTGCTACGTTACAGGTGTGATAGTGAAGGTAGGCTACGTAACAGGTGTGATAGTGAAGGTAGGCTACGTAACAGGAGTGATAGTGAAGGCAGGCTACGGTACAGGTGTGATAGTGAAGGTAGGCTACGTTACAGGTGTGATAGTGAAGGTAGGCTACGTTACAGGTGTGATAGTGAAGGTAGGCTACGTTACAGGTGTGATAGTGAAGGTAGGCTACCGTTACCGGTAGTGTCGATATGTGGAGCCGTAGAACTACGTATTACAGTCCGGGGGCCCTGTGATAGTGAAGGCAGGCTACGTTACAGTGTGTGATAGTGAAGTGTTTAGGGCTACGTCTTACAGCTGTGTGTATAGTGAAAGGTATGGGTTATGTTACAGGATTGATGTGTGCATAGTGAATGGCTAGGCTAGCTTACAGGTGTTGATATGTGAAGGTATGGCTTACGTTCATGGTGTGATTAGTGAAGGCAGCTACGTTTACAGGTGTGGATAGTGAAGTGTAGGGCCTACGTTACAGGGTTGTGATAGTGAAGGTAGGTTAACGTTACAGGTGCTGAATAGTGAATGGTTAGGCTACGCTTACAGCGTGTTGATATTCTGTGAAAGGTAGGCTACGTTTACAGCGCTGTTCGGATAGTGCAGTAGGCCTACTGATACCAGCGTGGTGTGATACGCTGAAGGCAGGACTACGTTTACAGGGTGTGCATAGTAAACGGTAGGCATACATTACAGGTGTGACTCGTTGAAGGTGGCTACGTTACAGTGTCGTGATACGTGAAGCAGGGTCATTACAGCGTTTGGGCTTGAAAGGTAGGCTAACGTTCAGCGTGTGATAATCTTTGCTGAAGGCAGGCTATCGTTACAGTGTTGTGATAATGAAGCAGGCTACGTTAACGTGTGACTTAGTGAAGGCAGGCTACGTTACAGGTGTGATAGTGAAGGTAGGTCTACGTTTAACAGGTGTGATAGTGAAGGCAGGCTACGTTACAAGTATGACAGTACAGCTCCGCACTGCCGTACCTTCACCGACACACGCGCGCACTTACGCACGCACAGATGCACGCACACATGCACGCACATGTGCACACACGCACGCATGCACGGAGGCACACATGCACCCACGCACACATGCACCCACGCACACATGCACGCACGCGCGCGCCTGTATGTACAGTACTCACGCGCAGATGGGCCGACGGGAAGGCACGCACGCACGCGGGCAGACTGGCTCACAGATACACAGACAGGCTGACAGGCAGGCAGGAAGTCATGCAGGGTGGCAGGCAGGCTTCAGCGCGAGTATCTCAGGCCGAGACACAGGCGATCTATTAAGCTCGGCGTGCGTAAATCCGTTGTGTAAACAGAATGGAGGAACGCCGCTGAAACCAACGGCGGCTTTGCCCGTCATTCGATACGCCCGCCGGTGGCGGAGACGAAGACGCCGTACGATTGCTGGCTGGGGTTCCGGCCCTGTCACCGACGCTCAACACACGGCGGTGGTATCGTCATCGTCGCTGTGTCGTCACCGGCCTTGTCATCGTCACCGTCGCCGTGGCATCAGCGCGATCACTGTCAGGCAAATTCTTCTTCTCCTCTTCCATCCCTCTTCCTCATCCTCTTCCTTCTACTCCGCCTCCTCCTCCTCGTCCTTCTCTTCCTCCACATACATCTCCTCCTCTTTCTCCTTTCATCTCATCTTCTTTTTCAGGCTCCCCCTACTCCTCATTCCATCCTCCTCCTTCCCCTCCTCCTCCTTCCCCTCCTCATGCTTTCCCTCCCATTCCTCCTCTCCCTATTCCCCTTCCGCATCTTTCTCCTCTTCCTCCTCCTCCTCCTCCTCCTCCTCCTTCGTCTTCTTCTTCTTCTTTTTCTTCCCCATCCTCTTCCGATCAACGTTATCAGCGATTTAAACGATTTTATCTAATTTATTCATTTGTGGGCGGCGCAACATCGAATGAGGGGAGGCAGGGTTGTATTCTTCTTAGATGTCGCTAGTAGCAATCCTAGAGTCCTAAAGCATTGAATTGTCAGAGCTGTCCCTGCTATTTCTGGCAATGCATTCCAGCCCACGGCGGCGCTTGAGTAGAATGAAATTTCCTTATAATCTATTTTGCAAGATGGAAGTTGGTAGGCCGCACCGTGAGCGTTTCTCGTGCTGCCCAAGGGAGCAGGCACCAGCACCTCGCTTCAAACGACAACTTCAGCGTGTGCTATTTTGTACGTGACTTGCCCTATTGCGAGGTGAAGCCCATGGAGTGAAACCTACAATAAATAGACGACCGTATATGCTAGCTCTCCCCTCCCGGGTGCATATCCGCTCCACTACCCCCGCGTAGATTCACCGAGCCTATATCATTTCATGCGATGAAGTTACGAACTTAGATGATATCAAGAGCTCATTTCTAAGGCTGTCCACTCAGGCAGTGAGTGAGTGAGGCGGCAGTGAATGCATGTATGTTGTCAGCCTCCAGGGATATGAGACCCAGCCGTTGCCATCCGCGCGTATCCTTCTGTGGCGTGTTGCTGCGAATAGCCGGCATAACTCATTGAAGGCAGGCGAATGATTAAACGTGGCAGAACTGTGTGCGTGTGTGTGTGTGTGTGTGTGTGTGTGTGTGTGTGTGTGTGTGTGTGTGTGTGTGTGTGTGTGTGTGTGTGTGTGCTGTGTGGCTTGTGTGTGTTGTATGTCTGTGGTGCGCGCGTGGGCGTGCGTGGCGTCGTGGCGTTGCGTGCTTGTGTGTGTGGTATGTCTGTGGTGCGCGCGGCCGTGCGTGCGTGCGTGCGTGCGTGCGTGCTTGTGTGTGTGTATGTCTGTGTCGGGCGCGCAGTGGCCCAGCGGCGTGCGTCGTGCGTGCTGCTTGTGTAGTGTGTATGTCTGTGGTGCGCGCGTGCGTGCGTGGCGTGCGTGCTGCGTGCGTGCTTGTGTTGTAGTATGTCTGTGGTGCGCGCGTGAGATGCGTGGCGTGCGTGCGTGCTGTGTGTGTGTATGTCTGTGGTGCGCGCGTGCGTGCAGTGCGGCGTGCGTGCGTAGCGTGCGTGGCGTGCGTGCTTGTGTGTGTGAATGTCGCGTGTGGGCGCGCGTGCGTGCGTGCGTGCGTGCGTGCGTGCGTGCGTGCGTAGCTGTGTGTGTTAATGTCCTGTGGAGCGCGCGGTGAGTAGTCTATATAATATAAACGATGATACCAAAGTATTGAATAGATAATTAGCCGGCGTGGCTGAACTGCGTGCGTGCGTGTGTGCGTGCATGTGAGCGCGCGCGGGCGCCCCCCCCCCCATGCTTGTGTGTGTTTGTTTTCACATGTGTGCGTTCCGTGCGTGTGTGTGTCTGATGACGTGAACGCTGCCAGTAAGGCGATCAGACAATTGCATGCGTCATCGCGTCTGCTAAAGCTATCATGATCATCACATGCAATCAGGAACGCGTCCGTCGCACGTCCGGCCTCTGGTTAATGTTGAAATCCACACCTCCCCAGTAATGTAACAACGCCGAGAGAGTTTTTGTATTATTATGAAGCACCGCATCAACGTTGGTTTGTCGGCGTAACAGGACAGACACACACACACACACACCACACACACGCAAACACACACGCACACCACACACAGCACAACAGACCACACACACGACACGCACGACCACACGCAAACACACAGCGCACGCACACGCAAACACACATGGGCACACACACACACACACACACAACACCATCACACACACACACACATCCACACACGCTACACACACCGCACACACATCACACACACACACACAACATGCAGCAACACACACAGACACCACACGCACACGCGCGACACGACACACACACACGCACACACACGCACACACACGAACCAGCGCCAGCACACACAGCCACACACACACACACACACACAGCACACACATCACACACACACACACACACACGCACACACACGCACAACACACACAGCACACACACACACCACGGTGCCGCTGCGAAAAATCTGGGGGCCCGTTGTCAGAAACATCGTAAAAAGTTAATTAGCTAATGTTAATGCTAAGATAACACTTACGACTAATGTTAATGTTATCACGCAACACACTACCACACACACAGAAACCGCACACACACACACACACACCACAACACACACACACACACACACACACACACACACACACACACACATGCACACACACCACACACACACGCACACACACGCACACACACACACACACACGACACACACCACGGTGCCGCTGCGAATCTGGGGGCCGTTGTCAGAAACATCGTAAAGTTAATAGCTAATGTAATGCTAAAGATAACACTTAGCGACTAATTGTAATGTAGCGAGAGGACGTTGGAGAAACACATCGCAGCTATTAGAAAACTTACGATAACAGGAACTTCATCACAAGGCTGGCTGATTGGAATGGAGAATCGATCGCAAAATTCAAATTCATACCATCATTTAATCGTAGCATCACAGTAATAATGCATAATAGAGGCTAACCACATATAAATTAATATTTGATGAATAAACGACGTGGGGTCATGAATTTATTCTGGCACAACAGACAAATTCTCACACTGTAACACGAGATCGCGAGAGTCGTGCCAGTGGCAACCAACCATTAAAAGCAAGAGAACAAATGCCGTAAATGTTTGTTTTTGTTTTATGAATCGGTAGATAATTAATGTTTTTGCACGTTTTTTATAATAAAAACACACACGTTACTCATTAAATTATAAATATATATACTATATATTGTAATTCGTAGTGTAATGTGTTATTGTTCATATAATATTAAAGTTACGAGAGGGTATGGGCTCTCCTAATGTGAAGAGGATATTTTCGAGATTTTTCGTTCTCGTAACATTAAGCGTGTTCTGTCAAACGGTTTTTACGAGTGGAAAAGTTAATGTTAAGACTAATGTTAAGACTAAACTTTTGTTTCTACAACGGGCCCCTGGTTTTGATGTGTGAGTTTTTTCGCCGCCGCAGCACGTATCCGTACGCGTGCGTGTAGATGAAGGGTTACGGCGCAGGCGTGCGGCTTCGCAACACGCGTGAATTGACGTGTAGCACGTGCATCGTGCGAATCGGCAGGGGCGCTGTTCAAAAACCTTTATTACTCATGGCTTGCTGCTACAGGCGCGCTGTTCAACCTTATATTAAGCTCATGCTTTGAGCTGCTACAAGGTGTCCCCCTAGTTCAAACCCTTTATTACTCATGCTTGCTGCTACAGGTGCCTGTCAAACCTTTTATTACTCATGCTTGCTCTACAGGTGCCTGTTCAAACCTTTATTACTCTCTTGCTGCTACAGTGCCTGTTCAAACCTTTATTACTCATAGCTTAGCATGCTACAGTGCCTCTCAAAACTTTATTAACTATGCTTGCTGCCTACAGGTGCCTGTTCAAACCTTTTATTAGCTCATGCTTGCTGGGGCTACAGTGGCCTGCTCAAACCTTATTACTCATGCTTGCTGCTACAGGTGCCTGCTCAAACCTTTATTACTCATGCTTGCTGCTACAGGTGCCTGCTCAAACCTTTATTACTCATGCTTGCTGCTACAGGTGCCTGCTCAAACCTTTATTACTCATGCTTGCTGCTACAGGTGCTTGCTCAGTATACCCACTGTGCAAAGAACAGAATGATCTGATTACCTATTGTTTCATATAAACCCGTGGAGACAACCTTCCGTGTGTTGCGGCGGCAACACCACACGCACACACACGCACACGCGCACGCGCACGCGCACACGGCACGCGCACGCGCACGCACGCGCACGCACGCGCGAACAACCGCAAGCACGCACGACACTACACACGCACACGCACACGCACACGCCACACGTACACACACAACACACACACACACACACATCACACACACACACACAACACCACACACACACACACACATACACACACACACACACCTATCGGATTAACGTTACCACGGCAAGATTATTAGTTCACCGTAATAGCTTATGCGAGCTCCTTTCCCTCCCCTTCCCCTCCCCCTTCCCAACCCCAACCCCGGGTAATTTCTTAACGAGCGATGAGCGCTGCGTATGTTGTTGTCCAACAGAAAGCCCTCGCCGGGACAGAGAAATACATCTCTTCGTCGCTGTTCGTTAATTTAGGCGATACGTAAGCCGCTCGAAATGTAATTAGGCGGCAGAGGGATATATGCAAATGAGATCGGTAAGACGACTGAAGCCTAACATCTCGTGACGAAAAACAAAAACATAGTCTGCGACGATTCGTACGGTTCTAAGACGGGTTTGAATCGAGCTGCGTACCTTTTAGTACGCGTACGTAAAGTCAGAAGCGACGAGACACGCGCTGCACCGACGGGCCGACCGACCGACCGACCGACCGACCGACCGACCGACCGACCGAAGTGTGCACCCGCGGGCACATAATTGGCTGGTTTAGTTTAGTTGTCAATTTCCAGCACCGTTCGTTTATTTCTGAGATTTTCTCCGTCTTTCCGTTGAGGCAAGTCTCTCTCTCTCCCTCGGTGCATCTTTGTTTTTTCTCTTTCTCACTCTCTCTCTCTGTCTCCCTCTCTGTCTCTCTCTCTATCCCTCTCTCTCTCTCTCTCTCTCTCTCTCTCTCTCTCTCTCTTCTGTGTCTCTATCTCTCTCTCTTCTCGCTCTCACTCTTTCATTCTCTCTCTCTCTCTCGCTCTCTTTCTTCTCTCTCTCTCTCTCTCTCTCTCTCTCTCATCTCTCTCTCTCTCTCTCTTGTCTCTCTTCTCTCTCTCTCTCTCTCTCTCTCTCTCTCTCTGTCCCTCTCTTTCTCTCTTGCTACTCTCTCGACCACCGACCACCGTAATACATCATCACAGATATTCTCTTTATTTATAGCTGGCAAGTTAAACAGGGTTTCCTGTTCTAAAACAAGATGGAAGGCAAAAGTTCGAACAAGCTCACGGTGTCGGTTCTGCTGGTGTTCCTGCTTCTGGTTGGTGGTGTGTTCTTTTTTATTCTAGAGAGAGATTCTATTCATGGTAAGTACAGCGGAGCAGCGGAGCGAAAGGGGAGCCGCCGCAAAATACAGTCCCAGATATCCCCCCCCATCACCACCACCAGCGTGCCCACTAACCACAATATCGGCAAAGCAACGGCGATCTCATTGCCCGTGCAAGCCGCGCCATTTCTTTCGTCAATATTTCGGCTTCCCTTTCATTAACCGCTCCGCTCGTATCCATTGCAAGCGCGTTTATTAATTAGTGTAGGCAGCGTCGGTAAGCGAGCAAACCTATTACTGCGCTTAGTCCATAGGAAAATCGTAGTAATAGTCGACCGTAGTGGAGTGTGCGTGCGGGCATGCCACTGATCTCTATATACTAACATACATACATACTATAATATACATATATATATATAGAAAATATTAAGATGGACAACAACTGGAGACATAATTATGCACTAACGTTTTCACGTTTCACTTTATCTCGTTTTAACGTTTTAACAATAAAGTGAAAACGTTAGTGCATAATTATGTCTCCGGTTGTTGTCATCATTATTTTCTGCGTAATTTAACTTGCATTTAGAAACCTGAACTTTTATATATATATGTATATATATATACATACGTATTATATATATACTAATATAGTTAGTATATATAGATCAGTGGCGGCATGCCTGTAGCGCTGGTATATATGACTGATCGAGGGCTAATGTGTAACACGTAGCAGCTATGCGGCGACGGGCGTACGAAGTTTAAGATTTTAGTGACAGGCCAGCGCTAGAACAACGGACGTTTAAACCGCCATTACAAACACTTCTGCCGATGTCTGGCTGCGTGACAGTCGAAAGCTCAAGGTCGTTAAGCTATTACTTGGAGACGGAAATAGATGTGGCCCGAGTTAATAATTATGAGTTTCTAGCAAGGCAAAACGAACGTCGATAATATCGAACAATTCGAAGTGCTTTCGCAGTATACGTGATGGTTTTTGTCGGCTACGGTTTGCTGTGGATATTACCATGGCATCTGACTAGAAGGTGGGGGCGTGAAACGATTTTTCGATTAAAATAATAATAGCTTTGTCGAGGGTAACGTTGGCGATTCGCGATATTATGTAATGACTAAATCCGTGTGTTATGATTTCGCAGATTGATTGCATCGTGGGTGCTTTTTGTATTCTAACGCGGGTCAAACTATTTCAGCACACGCAGAGGACAAGAGGGATGGCCACACGTCGCTAGATAAGGAAGATGTTCACCACGCGAACAAGCTTGATCGTGATAGCGATGGAATCCTTGACATTCTGCAGCATTGCAAGGATGCGGACGGTGATGGTACTCCGGACTGTATGGAAGACAGTGACGGTGACGGAATCCCCGATATTCTTCAGAGCAACATAGATTCTGATGGGGATGGAATTCCGGACCGGTTAGAAGATGAAGACGGTGATGGAATTCCTGATATTCTCGAGAACTGCAAGGACGAGGATGGTGATGGCACGCCTGATTGTCTGGAAGATAATGATGGTGACGGAATCCCTGATATTCTGCAGGATAACACCGATTCAGATGGTGATGGAATTCCAGACCGGCTAGAGGATGAGGATGGTGATGGCATTCCTGATATTCTTCAAGACAACACAGATTCCGATGGTGATGGAATTCCAGACAGACTAGAAGATGAGGATGGCGACGGAATTCCTGATATTCTTCAGGATAACACGGATTCTGATGGTGATGGAATTCCAGACAGATTAGAAGATGAAGATGGAGATGGAATTCCGGACATTCTACAAGACAACACAGATTCTGATGGGGATGGAATTCCAGACAGATTGGAAGATGAGGATGGTGATGGAATACCTGATTATCTTCAGGATAACACAGATTCTGATGGTGATGGAATTCCAGACAGACTAGAAGATGAAGATGGTGATGGAATACCTGATTATCTTCAGGATAACACAGATTCTGATGGTGATGGAATTCCAGACAGACTAGAAGATGAAGATGGAGATGGAATACCTGATTATCTTCAGGATAACACCGATTCTGATGGTGATGGAATTCCAGACAGATTGGAAGATGAGGATGGAGATGGAATACCTGATTATCTTCAGGATAACACTGACTCTGATGGTGATGGAATTCCGGATAGACTGGAAGATGAAGATGGCGATGGAATACCTGATTATCTTCAGGATAACACAGATTCCGATGGGGATGGAATTCCAGACAGACTAGAGGATGAAGATGGAGATGGAATTCCTGACATTCTTCAAGACAACACAGATTCCGATGGGGATGGAATTCCAGACAGACTAGAAGATGAAGATGGAGATGGAATTCCTGACATTCTTCAAGACAACACAGATGACGATGGTGATGGAATTCCA